GGATGAAGGCCTCCCCAAGCTGTTGCCATTTCTCATTTTTTTTATTCAACTTTCCAATTAATACGTGCACGTGAGCTGATTTATTTGCTCCATCTCTGCGGCTGTACGTATCATCGGGTGTCTTCTCTGCTTTAGCTGCCACTCTTACGTACCCCACCCAAACCACTTGATTTTTGAATGGCCAATAAGATGTCTCACGCGTGTATGCTCTCTAATCCACGTGCAACTCTTTGTCTCTCTCAATGTAATTCCATGTGCTTCTTTGCGAATTTTAATTATTGTTATGCTCATTTTCTTCATTAGTCAATGGCTATGTTTCTTAATCAAATGCCAAAGTAGGTAATATAAACTAATACAAAAGAAACCGGTCTTAATTTGGCACACCGGTATGTGGCATTTTTTATTCAGGTTCTAGTTTTGCAAAAGCACTCCAGCCTGCACTTGTCTGCCTCTTCAGTTCATCATTATCATCTCATTACACCTTCAAAAGCCGACCTTGATACACACGCTCTGATGTGTGTTGTAGCCGAGCCACAAGGCAGATATCTAAAAAAAAATTGCGAACTTGTTTTACGCAGGATTTTGTTGCTAGTTGTCTAAATAAACATTGAACAAAAATTGACAAATGTTTTGAATGTCTGTTTTTGTTTCTCCCCTTAGTTATTTTTTATTTTCACTTTATATTTTTTTTTACAAAAAGTGTCTCACAGTAATACAGCCCATATAACAGTTCAAATGTTTCATATCAGTCGCTTCCAGGCCAACCGAGATGATTTGTGGTGTCCTATCCCAAAGGGGAATCCCTCTGATGTCTCCTAATACATCAAAACCCTGAGTGGCCTTTCTGAAAGGCTGCAAGTACTTAAAACGTAAGGTTTGTCTGCACCATTCCTATTAATACACTGAGGAAGTTTCGTAGAGGAGCAGGAAATAAAACATCCAGAACTCTGCCTGTTGAAGATAACCATGGAGGTCTTTGTAGGCATTTTCAGAAAGTACTCTCCAAAATATCAAAGGCAAAAACACCAACTGGCAAATTGTCTCTTATTTCCTTCGGATACGCATCGGCAAAATTATTTTTAATAAATCCGCTCTTCTCCTTGCTAATGTATGCCTTAAGGGTACGAATTTTGAAATGGATTTCCCACCACACAAGTGAGGCATGTGAAAAATTGCAGTTCTGTTTTTCGGATCCAGTGGCAAATAACTTTTTTTTTAATTAAACAAAACCTTTCAAGCATTATCGGCAGTTAACTAAGAGGGCACTCAGGTTACGTTCTCAGTGGTCTCGCTATGATAGATTCTCTTTTGATCCCAGTGACAATGTCTGACGGTTGACAAAGTCATTGAAACCCTGCATGAGGGCATTGGAACTAAACATAGCTCAGCATTATACAATTAGTCAACAAGGATGACATCTATATAAGAATAGGCTTTGCCTTTTCTGTCAATAAAACATGTGTTAAGATGTTTAAACACCAATATATCAATTGTACGTTAACCACACATACTTGTGGGAAAACATGCAAACAAACATGATCTGATAATGTGTGCATTGGCTTTGAAACTGATTGGCCTACACCAGCCAGCACAAAGGCAATGCAGGTATCAATGTATGAACAGCTCGGGTTGAGCTGTTCAAAGCCCCTATTCATATTTTTTCATCACTTTGATACTCGCAAAAAGGTCCCATAGAAATAAGTATTCCGTCAAATGAAAGTTATAAAGAAAGGTCATAAATGCACCATCATCCATGACCAATTGACTGCTGGACGAAGGCCTCCCCATTTCGTCGGGATTTCTCACGATTCAGCGATGCATACATGTCAAGTCTCAAGGATTAGCCGCGACAAGGTTTTTCACAATGTCGACGGTGTCCCACAGCCCTGCAATGAGTTCATCTTCTTGGTTCTTTCGGTAAAGTCACATAGAATGGAAATAATAAAATAATTAAAATAAAACATAATTATATAAAACATAATAAAATAATATATTTTATTTCTTTTATTTTTATTATTTTATTATTTCCACTCTACGTGACTTTACCGAAAGAACCAAGAAGATGAATCCTTGCAGTCACGAAAGCTTTAAATCGAAATTTAAATGCAATGAGTTCTCACGTTTTTTGTTTCTCAGAAAATGACTCACTCAGCCCTATTGATTGCAGTGTATCACCGGTAGCTGCTGCCAATGGTTCAGGTCTTATGTAAGGGTCAGCTCCAAAAGTTTTGTCTTTGCTCACGATATTTCTGTGAGAAAGAAAGCAGGAAACTAATAACTACCCAAGTTTTGTATTATTGTCATTGACTATGGGTGTGTTAACTAAGCGAGACAGTGCATTAACCTATTGCTGCTGTGCAAACAGACCCTGATCGCTCTGTTCTTCAAAGTGGACTTGCCTGCTGCTTGACATTCCAACGTTTCTGTGCTGAGGTTTCTTGGGTTCCCTTTCTCTCAGTTTCTTGTGTTGCTACCTCTTTTCTTGGATTTCTTCCCAAATTAATTCAATGGAGGTCCCATTATATTGAACTCTCTGGAGTTGGGATGTATGGTGATGCAGCAATCCACCCAGCAGCTGCGCAAACCGATTTCATCGCTCCATCTCCTCGGGTGGTGATTCTCTCGGATGCATTCCATTCCTTGGCTCTCACTCTTCACTATCCTTGCTCATTGGTCATCGTCTCCTTCTCACAACGTGTCCTGTCCAATCCTAATTTATGTTTCACAAGTTTGAATGCTGTGTTTTTTATTTTAAAAATGTACGTTTAACCTGCATATGTTCTCTAATCCATGTGTTCCTCTTTTCGTCTCTCAATACAATTCCAAGCACGCATGTCTCTCTCCATGCATTCTTTACGGATTGTTAGGTTTTTTTTTATTTAATTGTAAACGACCCTTTTAAACACATTCCTGCGGAGGGAGCTGGTAGGAACGTTGGGTTGCTCGGTCAATGGCCAGGGTCAACGGCGGCATGGTGTATTCCGCAAATATGCCCGACTGTGAGGGCGGGCACAAGCCGGCGTGAGTAGGTTAAACGTTGAGTTTTATAAGGGCACCATGGGGTGACCAGCCCCTCCCCACCCAGCCCCACCCCTCCCACCCCCCACCCAGCCCCTCCCCACCCAGCCCCTCGCCACCCAGCCCCTCCCCACCCTCCCCACCCTCCCCACCCAGCCCCACCCAGCCCCTCCCCACCCTCCCCTCCCCACCCAGCCCCTCCCTGCACCACGGACACAATAATCCCCTGTGGGCTGGTGTAACCAGGTGGTTCCTACCAGTATCAATCTTGTGCCGTAGTAGGTAGTACACAATGGTAAACTACTTTCTTTTTTTAGACAAATTGGTATTACAAATAATCAGTATTGAATCATTGTGCGTATTGTCGCTCAATCGTGATAATGAATATTACTACGCTACAATACGGAGTAAAATGCCGCAGCACCGAATGTTATGTTAAATGTTACGAGGCAAAGTTCATTAAATACACGTGCTACACCTGAATCGATTCCACAATTATTTTGTTGTGTATTATGGGCTATCCAGAAAACCCGGCTTGCTTATTTTCCATAGTTTGCACACGTTGGGGGACACGGGGATTTGTGGAATGATATACTGCACTGCATTACACAATTTTGGTCCTCTGCAGAAATGAAGCGATGACATCAGTTCACGTGCAGCAGTGTGATGGATTGCGTGGCATCGCAGGACCGTAAAGAGATGGCAACAGCATGGGGGAAACCTTCATCCAGCAAGACAAAGTGATCCCCGGCTCAAATGACCATCGAGGCAGTGCTACCATCTCCTCTTCACAGCCCTGAGCCAATTGGTGGCAATTGCACATTTGTACGGTGGGGATGGGTCTCTCCAGAGGGCAACCAACTGTTAACTCCACGAAGTGCTTCTCATTATAAAAACCCCGGATCGATGATGGGCTAAGTTTAACTCCCAAACCAGGATTTGCACTCACAACCTTTTCATTTGCAAGACGCTCGCTCAACCGCTAGCCGGCTCGACTGCATCCTGCAGTGGCTCGCCAATGATTTCAACACACTATTGAAAATCCTGTATACTCGAGAAAGTTAATTCAATAGGAAGATAAAAATGTACTAAATAGAAATGCGGGACCAGTAAAATACAAAAAACTAAACAGCACAAACCACCGATCGTCACTTCACGTCACCACCAGGTGAGTGAATGGGTGCCTTCTACCCTTCTGCAAGGTTACGTGGCGCTTTACTCCGCGACCCATGGATGGCGCGATTAACGCAATGAGCGCCCAATTGTTGGCAGGCAACGGGGTCATTCATACGCGACACTTGGTAACACTCGATCGTCATCTCCTCCTTAAATGAACTCGAAACGCCGAAAGCCCCCACCCCGGGGGATAGCCGCCTCACTTGTCGCAAACCTGATGCCTCGAGTTCGTGTTCAACGTCATCAAGGCGTGTGTGTGTTGCTCATCACGAGGATGACCTTGCGACGTTGGTCAACACGGCCATGAACGAACGGCTTCAAAGTACAACGCCGCTCGTTACCATTCGCGACACGCGACTTCATTGTTTTCCCTAATTGGCACAGCCACTTAAGTGTCGAGACAAAGACGCGGAGCGATGCCACGCTACTTTGCTCCCTTTTCAACACGATCGCTCCGAGCAGTTCGACTTGTTCAGTACAAACTAATAATTATCTATATACACACACGCGCGCGCGCGCGCAGTACGCAAATATACATTAAAACTGCAAACACGTGCAGACCGCGCGCATATTTCTCAAACGGAACAATTAGCGACGCGTAAGCGCGATTCATCACGCGTGTATACCTTCTCCTCTCGCTGGGGAGTCGTAGGGAAGACCCACAGTGCCGTCGAGTAGCGGTGCAGTGGCTGCCACGGATGCAATGAAGAGGATGCGAGGTACACACACGCACGCACACACGCGCGCTCTCTCTCTCTCGCACTCACTCACTCACGCAATGTAAATTAATTACTCGCACGTTTTACCTTGTGACGCTGGCCGTCCCACCACGGTGGTGAGTGTCGCGCAGGGCTGCCTCTCAGCCAGAGACGAACAATCAATCGGCCGGTTGCTGCACGCACAACGAAATAAAGAAAGACCCCCCCCTCGTGTCGCCTTGAACCGGACAAGTGCCGTTAACGAGCACCTATGAAGACCGGCAGGACGCAACGCGACCAGAACCACTCCCGGGCCGCCTTTGTCCCTTCCCCCCCCCCCTATAGCGACTATATTTACACACCGCACTAGGTACTCATTTAAGGCCGAGTCAACCTAGGGGAGGCCCAGATTATTGTCGTCGGTGGGCGTGAGCGGGTAATCGAACTCGGGTTCCTCCTGCCGGGCTCTTGGCGCAACGTGTTCCCTTTTCGACCGCGACCAACAAAGAGAAAACGAACTGTGACACACTCATTGTCACACTCACTCGCGCGGAATGCAATGATGAATGGCGTGTTTACCTTCCCACGCTGCGAAACAACGTGGTGGGGAAGGTGGAGTGGGGGGGGGGAGTCCCCGGCACAATGCGCCCGTGAGCCGCAGTGTTGCACTTCAGCCAAAGAACGATGGAATCGAGTGGGGAGGGGGCACGCTCACGCAGACTCTCGCACTCAATCACTCTCAACATGCTCGAGATGTCGTGAATCACGAGGGGGGTCCCCCCTTCCACAGCTTCGGCAGCGCAGACTCAGACGCGGATGAGATGAATCGGATGGTTATGTTTTTTGTTTGTTTGATATTTTTATTATTTAATTATTTCCCTTCTACGTGACTTTACCGAAAGAACCAAGAATATGCATCCCTGCAGTCACGAAAGCTTAAAGTCAAAATTTAATATAAATCGGATGGTTGTTAAAATACAGACACAGACTCTCTCTCTCTCTCACACTCTCTTTACTCTCCCTGAACTCTCTCTCTCTCACACACTCTCTCTTTACTCTCCCTGCACTCTCTCTCACCACACACTCTCTCTTTACTCTCCCTGCACTCTCTCTCACCACACACTCTCTCTTTACTCTCCCTTCACTCTTTCTCTCTCTCACACCACACACTCTCTCTCTCACACTCTCTCTTTACTCTCCCCCACTCTCTCTCACACCACACACTCTCTCTTTACTCTCCCTGCACTCTCTCTCACACACCACACGCTCTCTCTTTACTCTCCCTGCACTCTCTCTCACACCACACACTCTCTCTTTACTCTCCCTTCACTCTTTCTCTCTCTCACACCACACACTCTCTCTTTACTCTCCCTGCTCTCTCTCTCTCACACACCACACACTCTCTCTTTACTCTCCCTGCACTCTCTCACACCACACACTCTCTCTTTACTCTCCCTGCACTCTCTCTCACACACCACACACTCTCTCTTTACTCTCCCTGTACTCTCTCTCTCACACCACACACCTCTCTCTTTACTCTCCCTGCACTCTCTCTCTCACACCACACACTCTCTCTTTACTCTCCCTGCTCTCTCTCTCACACCACACACTCTCTCTTTACTCTCCCTGCACTCTCTCTCTCACACCACACACACTCTCTCTTTACTCTCCCTGCACTCTCTCACACACACCACACACTCTCTCTTTACTCTCCCTGCACTCTCTCACACACCCACACTCTCTCTTTACTCTCCCTGCTCTCTCTCTCACACCACACACTCTCTCTTTACTCTCCCTGCTCTCTCCTCACACACCACACACTCTCTCTTTACTCTCCCTGCTCTCTCTCTCACACACCACACACTCTCTCTTTACTCTCCCTGCACTCTCTCTCACACACCACACACTCTCTCTTTACTCTCCCTGCACTCTCTCTCATACACCACACACTCTCTCTTTACTCTCCCCCACACTCTCTCACACACCACACACTCTCTCTTTACTCTCCCTGCTCTCTCTCTCACACACACCACACACACTCTCTTTACTCTCCCTGCTCTCCTCTCTCACACACACCACACACTCTCTCTTTACTCTCCCTGCTCTCTCTCTCACACCACACACTCTCTCTTTACTCTCCCTGCACTCTCTCTCTCACACACCACACACCTCTCTCTTTACTCTCCCTGCACTCTCTCTCACACACCACACACTCTCTCTTTACTCTCCCTGCACTCTCTCTCTCTCTCTCACACACCACACACTCTCTCTTTACTCTCCCTGCACTCTCTCTCACACACCACACACTCTCTCTTTACTCTCCCTGCACTCTCTCTCTCTCACACCACACACTCTCTCTTTACTCTCCCTGCTCTCTCTCTCACACACACCACACACTCTCTCTTTACTCTCCCCGCACTCTGTCTCTCTCTCTCACACACCACACACTCTCTCTTTACTCTCCCCGCACTCTCTCTCTCTCTCTCACACACCACACACTCTCTCTTTACTCTCCCTGCACTCTCTCTCACACACCACACACTCTCTCTTTACTCTCCCTGCTCTCGCTCTCTCACACACACCACACACTCTCTCTTTACTCTCCCTGCACTCTCTCTCTCTCACACACCACACACTCTCTCTTTACTCTCCCTGCTCTCTCTCTCACACACACCACACACTCTCTCTTTACTCTCCCTGCTCTCGCTCTCTCACACACACCACACACTCTCTCTTTACTCTCCCTGCACTCTCTCTTTACTCTCCCTGCACTCTCTCTCACACACCACACACTCTCTCTTTACTCTCCCCGCACTCTCTCTCTCACACACACCACACACTCTCTCTTTACTCTCCCTGCACTCTCTCTCACACACCACACACTCTCTCTTTACTCTCCCTGCTCTCGCTCTCTCACACACACCACACACTCTCTCTTTACTCTCCCTGCACTCTCTCTCTCTCACACACCACACACTCTCTCTTTACTCTCCCTGCTCTCTCACACACACCACACCACTCTCTCTTTACTCTCCCTGCACTCTCTCTCTCACACACACCACACACCTCTCTCCCCGGCAGCGCGCTCACGATGTTGCGTCTTGTGGAGAGCGCGACACCAGCCAAGCAGAATTTAAACAACCGCGCGTCCCACGGCGCTTAACGCACAGAGGGAAAAAAAACACTCAAACAACGCGCAGTGCACGCTGATGATGATGATGATGGACACGGACTCACGCACACGCAACCTCGTGCGGGATAGCGAAACTACACGAACTCACCACGAAGCCATCCGTCCGTTCGTCGTGGCCAGCAGACCTCGACATTTCGCATTTAGCTCGTGAACCGCATTGCTGCCGTGCGCAAGTCGAGCAGTGCAACATCGCCGTTTTGTCAATGCACGCCAAGCAGGTCGTGGGGATTATTTGACCGTTGCTGGTCAGTACGGGTTAAATTAATGTTGGGGGGGGGGGGGCGGGGGGTGCATGGACTTGGGGGCATAGAAGTACACAACAACAATGGGCTGCCCTCTGCTGCCCACAACGTGGTCGTCCATCGGAGCACTACAAGCACTGTAATATCACAGGGTCACAACCTGCTGAGCTCGACGAGATAGAACGAGATCGGACGCATTCCCGGGTGATTTGGTCAAAGGGGCTATTTTGTAAGCACACACTGGCGGAAACAATTTGCAACAATAGTGGAGGCGGATGAGAGTGCATCCCCCCCCCCCCCCCCCCTTGATGCAGATGTGGAATTTGCTATAAAACAGGTCCGGTGGCCACTTAATAAATTGGATTAGTTGCAGGATGGTTGGGAGTGTGCAAGCAGATGTAAACAACAGGACTCAAACAGACAAGGGCTGCCCTGTGTCTGCTATTGTTTAGATCAACGTTATGTCACGACACTGTATGTATTTCATGTGCGTCCAACTGGGACTCATATCTAACAAAGAGGGTTCTTGCCTATAGTATATGGCAGTTCCCCATCAGCGGTTTCAGCGTGCCTGGCTGCTGATGAAACATTTCATGTTGAAACCAGTCCAGAGTAACAACCAATACTGTTGAAAAATATGCTCACTCCCAGAACACCGTGGTTGATGTAAAACAAAAATCGAGACGGATATTGTAAAGGTAAATATTGCATGCCTAAATTTCGATTTAAAGCATTCGTGACTGTAGGGATTCATCTTCTTGGTTCTTTCGGTAAAGTCACGTAGAAGGGAAATAATAAAATAATAAAAATAAAACATTATAAAATAATTCTCACGACGTTTCGGCTGCTTGCGTTGTGGCCGAAACGTCGTGAGAATGATTTTATTATGTTTTATTTTTATTATTTTATTATTTCCCTTCTACGTGACTTTACCGAAAGAACCAAGAAGATTGCATGGCTATTTCTTTTGCGCTAAGATTGACCACCGGCCCTTGCGCCGATTTATCTCCAAATTTCTTCCACCGTGATTTTCAATTACAGAGTAGCACGTGAAGTATAAATTAAAATGTTCATGATGTCAGAGGTGCCTCCGCGAACACACTAAGTACATTTCAGTGCATTTGTGGCTGGCAGACTCTGAGTCAGATTCAATTAGCTTCGCTTTCCATATTTAAATCGCACAGTTGCTACGGTTCGCCTAGTTATGATTCACAGGGAACATACAGTGACCGTTTGATTCATTTCATTCATTTGGGTTGTATATTCCATTGCATTTGGATTTTCTCAAGACTTTGAGGGTGTCTTTGTTGATTCCTCTCGGAAATAAATTTAAGCTGATGTGTAAATACTTTTTGGCTCTTTCGGTAAAGTCACGTAGGTAAGAAATTAAAATAAGAATAAAAAGAAAAAATTGAAATAACTAAATTAAATCACGACGTTTTAGAAGCAACACAAGCTTCAGTAATTACTGTAGTGCCCACTACAGTAATTTTGTTTCTTGCTGTGGTTGTCCCAACTGATGACGGAAGCTTGTGTTGCTCCGAAACGTCGTGATTTAATTTAGTTATTTCTACTTTTTTCTTTTTTCACCTACATGACTTTACCGAAAGAACAAAAGAGTATGGATCCTTGCAGTCACGAAAACTTCTAATCTAGAACTGATTTATAAAATTAATGCAAACCAAGAAATGCCATGGATATAGGTAAGGTTCAGTCCTGGTTGGAACGGGTGGGGCATGTGTGCAGGATGGTGGGAGGGCCAATTGCAGAAGTCCGGAGCAGAATGGTGTGATGCTTTTTTTCTGACAGATCTTGGAAGTCTTGTGTCTGCTATGCAGCAGCAGCAACTGGCAAATAGAAAGTGTTGAAGTGTGGTGGCATCAACAGCTTAGAGAGCCGTCAATAAATGACGTCACGCACCTAGGAGGTGGGGGTCAGACATTTGTGACGATGTGTGACAAGGGGGGGGGGGGGGGGTTGAGAAATGTGACGTCAAATCAAAATGCGCAACTTTAAATAAATATAGACAACACGTTCTACTTAATTAAATAGACTTTTTAATAAATGTTTTCTCCTACAACATCAGAGTGCAGCGCCACATTAAATACGCACTACAATGACAATAGTTTAAAGCGATTTGAAGCATGTTTTTTTTTGGGGGGGGGGGGGCAGAGCTTTGTAACGTCATATTTGAGGGGGGGGTCTGACTTTTTGCGACGATGGGGGGGGGGGGGGGGGGTCAAAAATCGTCTAAAATCGCGTGACGTCATTTATGGACGGTCCCTTTGGCTTCGATGACATCTTGATCTCGAACGGGACAGCTCTGCAGCGAGTACCCATGTCACTCTTGCAATTGAGACGAGTCTGGACTCTGGAGTTCACGCCTGGTTGAAAAAGAAACTAATCTTGCTTGCTTGCTCACGCCACCGTTGACGGGCCTTCACAAGATCGAGCACTCGTCTTTTTCCAGGGGTTAGTCCACACGAGATGTACACCACCAAACGAGTGTCATCAGGACTATAATTTAAACAAAAATTATTGTACATTACTGTACTGCGAATCGAACATGGTGCTAAATTGCAAAACGTTTACACGTTATTGAAAATGAACAATCTGCAAAGAATTAGTTTTTTTGGGTTAGATTGCGTAAATGTGTGTTGTTAAAACCCGCCACCACCCGACACAGCCGACTAATAAGGGTTGACTCTCCAACACAGCGGTGTGCTGCGCTCGTGACGAATTGGCATGTTCTGTTTACGTGACAACCCTTGCTATTTTTATATTCTTAGTTCTTTCGGTAAAGTCACGTAGAAGGGAAAAAATAAAATAATACAAATATAAAACAATAAAATTGTTTTATATTTTTAAAGCCAAAGGGGCCGTCCATAAAAATAAAAAAATATATATTGTTTTATATTTGTATTATATTTCTTCCCTTCTACGTGACTTTACCGAAAGAACCAAGAATATGAATCCCTGCAGTCACGAAAGCTTTAAATCAAAACCCTTACTAGTTGGCCGTGTCGGGTGGTGGCGAGTTTTAACGACGCATTTATGCGATAAAAACCCCCAAAAAAACCTCTTATGGATTGGTTGCGAAAGCCTCCGTGTTAATGTGCAAAGAGCATGTGATAGACTGCCATTTAATTCACCTGTCGACCCTCACTACTCACTCTCCACACTCATGGATGGCAGATAAAGGACGTGTTGAGCCGGGCTGTCCTCGAGATTTAAATACTGAGATGAATTCAGTGTAAAAATCCATGTACTACTTGTGTACGTATATTTCCCGCAGCGAAAGTAGCCACGTAAACTCCGTTAAATCACCATTAGGCGCTATTGCCACGAGGGGCTATTGTTGCACCACACGCTTCATTACAGCGTATTAGTGGCCATCAATATAAAGGCGCTCTGTACAATTGAACGGCAATTAATGCGCCCCCTGCTTGTTGTTCATTGTATCACAGCCAGGATCTCCTGAACTACCATGGTAAATGGTATTGATGCCCTCCCGCTACTATCCTTAAGGAGATAATATTCATGTGATTGACTGGGGAGTGGCGCAGTGGTTGACAGGCTTGGCTCTGAACCTGGCGACTGGAATTCGATATCCAGCCATGGCTAACTTGAGCGGTGAGTGGTATCTGAACCGGTTTTGGGTACCCCCCTCCCAAACCATAAGACCAGTGTGGGGTCAAGTATGGTCACACCACCCCATGACCACACGATTTCACGAGGCCTTCATCCAAAATAAAATAGATTGAAAATGCATAGAAAAGTATTATGTACAGAGTTTAACAGCATTAGTCACGTATTAACTGGCTAATCGCCTTCTTGTTTTGATAGTTGCATCTGGTCATGTGCAACAGTGTTCATTCCAAATTAAAGATTTGAAAAACAATAACAGTATTTTCAACTTACAGTATTGCACACATTACAAAGAATGTATGCACACTTATGAAATCCAGTCCACAAGATATGACAATCAATAATTTTAATCAATTCTCACCCCAATTTCAATCAACTCCAAAATTAAGCAAAACACAGTAATATCAATAACAGAATTTGAAACTTATAATAAAAAAAATTAAAAACACAAACTAAGTTATGAAATATAACTTTGGACAAAACACAATCATCGTTTTTAAGCCCTTAATTTTCACTCGGAGCAAAATGCTCATTTTGAAAAATGCTCATTTTGCTGCGACATGGAGCAAAATCCCAACAGAAATTTAAACGTATTTATAAAAATACAAGGCACATATGCAAACCACAAAGTGCACAAAATATCCTCATCAATATTTTTAATTCCTTAATTTTAACTCAAAAAGCATTTTCCACAAGTCCCAAAATGAACGAAACACACCAACAACTGCAGGGGCAATGCAGGGTATAAGTTGCCCAAGCAATGAAAAGACATTGAAGTAGAAGGTCCAAATATGCAGAACACTTCTTAAAAGCAACACACTTGCATCGCTTTCATTTCTTAAAATCGGTCCAGTGTCCACCGATGAAAATTGAATGTTACACAAAGGCACAATGCGCTTAATAAACGCACTCCGAAACGATGGAATTACTGTACCACCGTTGTTTCATTTAGAGATGTGCTCAGCACTGAATGTGAATGCAAATGATGTCCCCTTCGAATCTATGGCGAACGGCACCAAAACTTAAAAGTTACAGGTACAAAGGTCGATCTGTAACAAAATGTCGAAAAATGCATCTGCATTGTTTAACCTCAGAATGTATGCACCCTTACTAATTATAACTGGTTTAATCTCACACTTATTCTTCTCCTTTCGAATGGCACGAAATTTGTCATCAACTTTTTATGTCGTCGAGCCAGTGTAGCCTGCTGAAAATCCGAAACGCTGCCGATGCATGATCGTTGCGGGCAGTGGTGGTACCGTGTGGTCTGCTGCTGTTTAAGATCGGTGACCACATTAGTATTGGGAAATTAACGTTCCAAATGTATTACAAAACAAATGGAACCGTCTGATTTCGTACACATCCGCTGAGTGCCGCTAGTACCATGGCTCTCCACGGGACTTCCGTGTAGTGCTGAAGTCAGAGAGACAGCGCCACCTCATGGTGGTGAGTGTTCTGCAAATGTTGTGTGTGCCATTTACTTCCCAACGCATGTTGTTTTCCTTGCATGTGCAAGATTTATAGCAGAAATATTTGTGCGTGTTGTTCAATCAATGTGTTTATATATATCGATTACACATGAAATTAATATTGATCGTCTTGATTGTTTGGTTATTGATTCACTGATTATATTTACATTTATATCATGACAATTTAAGTTAGATACAAATCCCACAAATTAGTTTTTAGAAAAGTGTACAATTTAAACTTTAGCTTCATGCATAAAAAGGTAAAACATGACCTATAATAATTACATTAATGGACCACTGAGATGACTCTGGGTATATCAAGTAAAACGTTTTAAAGTGAATGTTGTACACATTAATAAAAAAAACTGAAAAAATGACAGTGGTTAATACACTGTGCTCTTATTCTGGAACCCGAGTTCAATTCCAGGCCGTGGGCAAACATCAGCGGCAAGTGATATCTGAAACCGGTCCTCTCTACCCTTCCCCCACCCCGTCACCAACCTGCACTGACCAGCGTGGTGAAGTATAATAAAAACAACAATCGACAGGACAGAAGAGGCCTTCATCCACGAGAAGAGTGACAAACGAATGTAAAATAAACGTGAACTTTTTTTTCTCTCGAAAATATTAAAAATTGTCAGAGTATTAAACCAGCACAAAAAAATTAATGACATGAACATCAAATCTGGTACCTCACGTTGAACAAGGGATAACGCTCTAATGTTGAACATCAGGCACAACATAATACATTTCATATTGTGTATATGTTCATCAAGTAACCCAATGCACCAACCTTTCAAGCCTACACACTTGCATTTAGAATTTACCAATTAGGGGGTAGTGGATGATCTTTGCAGGATCACAAACAATATCATTGCTTGGGGTGACACTGTTGGAGTAGCTGTTTGGAATAGGAATGCCAGCTTCGGCATGCCGAGAGCAGTTCACAAGGGAGAACTCTCGGCTCCAACACATCTGAATCTGTCCCAGCAGCTGGGTGTTTTCCTCCTGGCAGAGAAAACACAACCACGGTAACACACAACAGTTCAGCAACGGTTCAGATCAACAACACTAAACAAGCAATGACCGCTCCTCTAACTTATTGTAAAGATGAAGACAAAGATGCTCATTTTTCGATTTAAAGCTTTCGTGACTGCAGGGATTCATCGTCTTGGTTCTTTCGGTAAAGTCACGTACAAGGAAAATAATAAAAATTAAACATAATAAAATTATTCTCACAACGTTTCGGCCACAGCGCAAGCAGCCGTCTTCAGGTGGAGAACAGGTAGACAGTCTACTTGACAGACCTGTTCTCCACCTGAAGACGGCTGCTTGCGTTGTGGCCGAAACGTCGTGAGAATAATTTTATTATGTTTTATTTTTATTATTTTATTATTTTACTTCTACGTGACTTTACCGAAAGAACCAAGACGATGAAAGATGCTCATGCCCACTGCCGGTGAAATGGCCTCCACTAGAAGGAGCTCTAAAGAGGCCCTGCAATACACCTCCACGCTGACAAAATGTCTTCGAGAAGGTGGAAATGTCCACACTTTACCCCACACCATACACGACCTGCCAATCGACATCCTGTGTTGTACCCATTCATACTGCTGCGTGGGCAGAAGTGAGGGGGGATTTAAGAAACTTGCACCACCATTGTGACACCACTGCCGTGCCGGGAGATTGAAGCGGTGACCCGAGTGTGATAAGCCGTTACACTATGGCAGCATCCCCAAACTTATTGTAATGTCAACAATATTTCTTAACATTTTGGCTTTTAATACATCCGGTATTCCTATTTATCCCCAACAAAACTTCATCCAGACATTCGCATCGCGTAACAATGAAGGCAGGGCCATGGACTGGAAACCGGAAACCTATGCTGGCCTCTACTGAATGCCCCATTCTTAACCACAAATATAAGATATGAATGGGAGTGGTTTGCTCTGGGGGTCTGTCTACTGATACAGAGTGTACAACCCTCACAGATGGCATTAACACAACCATGTAACCAAATGCAGAGTAACTGAACAAATACACTGAACGCACATTGGAGACAATGACATTAAATCCACATAGAAACCTGTAAAACTCTTGGTGACCACCAGAGGCTCCACCTCAGCACCTTAATCAGAGCAGCAACTCAGTGGCTTTCACATTGACATCACCACCCCGAGCCGTTAAGCCAAATGAATACACTTTTTGCATTCATAACCAAAATCAAATACCAGTCAATCTTCGCTCAGTGGAAGGTCGCACATTCTCCTCTGCTGCCCCCACAGTCTGAAACTACCTTCCCCCATCTAACTGTGCTGTCGACTCCATGCCCCTGTTCATGTGCAGGCTCAAGACTTTCCTTCTTTCCCTCTGCCTATGGCTGGCTGACTGCCTCCCTCTCTTTTTTACACGACATAAATCATCCAACTCCTTCAGGACAACCTCGTGAGGTATGGTTTCATTTGAGATGCTCGATAAATACAAATCGTTTAACAACTTTTAAACTGTTGTTACCACACGGATACCATTCTTTACAAATAACTTCTGTTGGCTTACCTGGGGAACTGTGAGGCACTGCAACTTGGCCTTGACACCAAAAGCTGTCGAAAACGCTTCAAGGATCTGTTCCTCCTGGTATAAAAAATAATTATTTTATTTAAATAGTATCAGTTAGGTCAATGAAGTATGTATATTTTCTCACAATAACATAAGATTTCATATAAGAAAATCATATTTAAAAAAAAAAAATTATTTTGTAACCCACTTTTTCATGATTAAAAGTTAAACTGAAAAAAAAAATTAGCGTGATTTTTGGAGTCAATGGAATCTTTCAAATGTGTTGAAAGTGTTTAATATAATTTAATAGTAGTCACATCATTCATATTTTTGAGGTTAATGATACGCTCGTTTTATCCATCAACATTTCAACCTATTAGCTGTGAATCAAAGAGCTGCTGCGGCAAAGTAAAACCAATGCTACTGTTTAAAACGAGCATTCAACAGTGACTTCAGTATATTGATCTTACCTTGTAGAAAACTGTGTTCGATGGGGTCACACCAGCATCACTTAGAGCTCTGAGAACAAACAATAAATAACACAATATTACCTTTTTATACCAGACTTGTAATTGTCCCGGTATTCAAAACAAACAGCCTGTTTTTAAGAAGCATGTTGAGTTACAGAAAGAAAAAAACAAGTGTAATGCCTGCTCGGCATCTACCAACAAATTGTAAATGAGTAGTATCAATATTTGAGCTTGATACACATCAATTCGTACATGTTGTACATCATGGGTTATGTGGCTTCTGCGGCCACTCGAGGCCGCTACATGCATCACAGACTTTGAAAAGAGAATCGTTTCTTGAATCAAATGAATCAAAACACTTAATCAGCAAAATGCGTTGAATCACTGGGAGGCGAGGAGCTGTGATTGTTTTAAAATACAGTTGTACACTTTGGGTGAAATTCGGCACCTCAAATTGCATATACAACACCAAAGTGGCTCGCAATTGAAAGGTTGCGAGTTAAAAATGCTGGTTGGCAGTTGATTCAGACCATCATTCATCCAGGGTCACTAAATTTAGCACCACTTTGTAGGGAGGTCAAGTCGGTCATCCTCTGAATAGACTCACCCCTGCCATAAGAATGTGAAACTTCCACCACAGGCTCAGGGCTGTACACGGGAAATGTACACTACCTCAAAGGCTCATTAAGCAAGAAATCACTTAAGCCTAATTTTTACTTTTTTTTACTCGCCAAAAGCAAACCTGACACTCCAGCTTTTCATTTAAAATAATCAGATTCGCAGAAGAACTATATATCATCGTTAGCTCACGATATTCCTGGCTGCGGTACGTTTTGGCGTTCTTACTTGCTGATGTCAAGCTTCTGGTAGAGCTCCATGGTCTTGCTGAAATAATTGTGCTGGGAGTTAAGGGCCTCGAGGGTGGCAGCACAAGTGCCATGCCTTATCCATTCATGTTTCCTGTAACACAGTATTTCAACAGTGCGCTCATTCACTTAAACTGCATATTAATTTGCATTATATGGATATGCTTGCCATTCTTGATGGATGGATTACCAAAGGTCGGTGCCATTGGTCTTCTCAAGGTCTGGCCAGAATTGGTCCAATTGTGGCAGCAAATCCTGTCAAGAAAAATAACAAATTTCAATGATTTTTTGTGATGGAATTATATCATAATCGTCAGCAGCAGGCACAGCAACATTTAAGATATATTTAGAAAATGTGATTTGTATTTTTTATTAATATAAATGGAGTTCAATACAAAAATGAAAACTCTGCAATGTTTTAAGTTCTAATTGTTTTGGTCCAACAAGAGCTGCTTTATAAAATGTTTCACCTGGATGTTATAACACATGATGCTATTACAATATAGGTCCAAGTCTCTCTCGTAGTAAAAATCACATTTCATGAATGGAAATTTTCTTGAAATGTCCCATAAAATGTTCACAATTTATTTATTCTATTCATTTTTGACAGCACAGGAGACCCTTGAATATCGCGGGTATTACGTTATTCGAAAGTGCCACAAAAGTTAAAACCGTGATATTCAATACTTAAGCCTTACCTAAATAATGGAGGTAGGTACATGACAACCAAAATTAGACATCACAATTGAAATAAGTACTGTATTGTTTGCGTAATAAACCAAAAACTAAATTACTGAAGTAAACATGTAAAAACCAGTATACAAAAAAACATTCCAAGACAATAATAGACTTCAATATAAATGCTGAAGAAATACTTTACTTACCGATGATGATCCAAACCAGGTGTATGTTTGTCTACGATGGTTAGCACGCTGCACTACGAACTTGGCTACCAGTTTGATTCCCGCTCACGCCAAATATACCGCTGGTAAATTCTAAATGCAAGTGTGCGACGATTATTTGAACCAGTCCTGCGCCTCCTCTAGGTCGACTCAGTCTAAAATGAGTACCTGGTGCAGTGTGTAAACATCACCACTGGGGAGAAAAAGGTGGCCGGGCATCGTGCTGTGCCTTGCCAGCCTTCATAGGTGCTCGCATATAGCGCTTGCCCCAACAGTCCGTTAAGGCTATACTGGGGGTCTGTCTTTGTCCGCAAGATGCTTGCACGGCAAAGGCTGAGGTGCAACCGACTGTCCTCAGGTTCCTCACCCGCCCCACACCACAGTACCAGCCAATGATACAGTACTTCCGGGTACAGCATACCCGGCGAAAGGCCAAAACTAACCCCCACGATATTTAAAATCGGCATACAAAGAGGTTTCCCACGATAAGTCGAAGTCACAAAAGTGGAGCCCGGGATATTCAAGGGACTCCTTGTAATTTCTCCCCCATTATGAACTACAAAATAAATCACATCATTCGTCATTCAAGAGTTGTTAGGCCTATTAAAGGATATGTAAGTTATTATTTATACCTCAATTTCTTTGACATCAAAATGCCACGATTTGTTGCAGAAAGTCCTGTGGTTAGTCCTGTGAGTAAGAGAAACAAGTAAAAGTTACTTTTAAAACTTTCCATGTCCTTCATATTTTTCAACCTTTATAGACTGAACATCGTTTAATTCCTAAACATCCATCAGCAAAAGGCTGTTATTCGGTTTGTTGGCCTACAGAAACTGAATATAAATATTTGGACTAAAATATATATGCAAGAGACTCACCACAGGCCGTGGATTGACCAGCTCTTCACGGAACTTGGAATGGTGCAGTTGTGTTTTTCAGACCACTGGGACTGAGGTCGGAAAAGAAAACCACAAAAACTATTAAACAACGCACGAGAGGAAAGTACAACAACAAGCCCTCTCAATACCAGCCTATGAATAATGTATGCGTGCAATGCACCATGGCGATGTACATATAACAACTCATCATTGGTCATGATTAGATCCACTGCTGGATGAAGGCCTGTGATGTAACAAACCATCCAGCACCAACACATGAGCATATTTCATCGCTCCACCTCTGTGGTGGATATCATCTTGGGTGCCATCCTTCTGCTGGCTCCCAAAGTTGCTCTAATGGGATGATTTGTGATATGAAATGTATACAAAACTGTAATGTGGGCATCAATTTAAACATGATGCACATTTTCTGAATGTAAAGCATCAATTTGATGTTAAAATAATCGTACAGGAGTTGCATATCACACTCAATGTTAAATATCAAAACATATTAGGCAAATATGCCGTTTCTAAGGAACGTTAATATTTAACAATAATTCCCTTTCGGCTCCTCAAACAGGCACCATCCCAATAATCAGAGATCGCAATACCATACACAAAAGGACTTACCATACAAAAACTCTGGGGCCAGTGCTGTGTCAGAATGAGCTGGCTCCAGTCTTCATAACGCCTCCTGAAAAAGTGTTGCATATTGTGAACCGCCAATTACAAAAAACTGTGATGTCTTGCTCAAAATAAACATGTAGGTGGGTGCTCATTTCCTGGACAATCTCTTGACTTCCCCACAAAGTGGTCCCTATTTTATCGGCCCAGAGCAACGATTGGCTGAGTGAACCCCTACCCAGGATTTAAACTCACTACCATTTGATTGGCAACAACAAAATAATGCCCCCCCCCCCCAATAGTATTGATTATACATTAGATTAAAGCATATTCTGCATTCACTTTACATTGGGCATATTTGTCTATGTATTCTCCTATGCTATCATTTTTTTTTATCTTGAAAAGGCACAGACAACTTGTGCATTTGCAGCTCAATTGCTTCCAGTTTTCCCAGGTCACCTTTGTAAATCAAGACATTATATCTTCAGGCACCCAGCGGGTTAAATAAAGGGCTGACTTATAAAAGCATCAGGGCACTTACGCATAAGAAGGCGCCGAAACAGCAGCAATGACAAAGATAGCAGCCAACAGTTGGATGTGCCCAGCCATGGTGAGATGTGCAGTATCAGCTGGAAACAAATACAGATTGCATGAGTCACGTATGTCCCACGGAAGCAAACCTTACATAAGTTGCACTCCGTTATCAATCTTCCTTCATGAATGCTATATACTTTGTTTATCTTAACTTTTTTAGTATACAGTGAGAACATGACACGCAGACTTTCATAACCAATATTATTCACGATCAGGTTTTTGGGTTACATTACGTCAATGTAAATGTGTCAGGGAGGTTGCTCTACGATACATTTACATGTATGCGATCTCACCGAAAAATGTAATCATGAATCGTGAGAATACTTCAAAAGTTACACTGCATTACTGTTGATTTTATCTACCAGTGCATTTACCATATCTTGCAAGCAACTGGGATATACAAAAGTTTGGCTTTGAAATATGGGTCAGATTTTTTTTTTACTCATTAACTTTATCAAATTTTAATCATGCTTCATTTTAGACTATGAAAAAAATATTGTTATAAAGCACATAATTACACAATTAGTACCCAGCTGTAAGGGGCATCAGAGCAGTGCCGAGACTAATTGCTGGGGATTGTTGAACAAACAGCCTTCCTAGCTTAGATTAATGATCAGTGTGATTACACAGCTTTAAATTGCTACAGATAACCAGACTGAAATGCAATCAACATGGATGTGAAATCACACCCAGGAACAAAACTGGTGAAAACACTGGCCGAGCCATAACATGTTAAGATCACATTAGTCCACACCTTCTGATAGCAAACGAGTTAAACTTTAAAAAAAATTCTAACTTCATTTTTTGTAGATTTGTTTCTGCATTTATTCTAATTGTCCTGTCTGCAACAGATTGTGAAAATCTCTTCCCTGGGTCTGTCTCTGACAAAATAAGTTAACTCTGTGAGATTAACTTAAAGGATGGCGTTTTTTGTGAAATAATTGAGAACCAGTTTGGAACCATCAACTTACTCGACTTGAAATCCTGGTTTAATGACAGGCAGCTGCTCGGATTGGAAGCTGCTTGGATTGGAACCCAGAAACTCAGCCGTGCCAGCTCAGCATTTTGACCGCAGAAGCATACGACCTCCTCCATAAAAAACGAATGGCCAAAACATTAGATGCTCCCATTTTAATATAGATGTATTTTTCCAAATGACAGATACTAGTTTCATATTTTTACTTAGGATGTGATGCAATACAATGTAATTGGGAGGTGTCTAAACAACTATTTTAAAGACGCCGCACTATTGCGGTGCACATCTATTAAAGTAGAGGTGGTGGGTGATCAGTGGTGAGAGTTGCGAGTTTACTTTGTTTACCAGGTGAAAACTCAAGGAGACCATGATAGTTTCGTTTAAAAGAGTAAGCTGGGACATGTTTGACAATAAAGAGTGGTGATGGCTATGTACGACCCCACTTGCTATGTATAACCCCACTGAGTTAGCAGACAGGGCAGAGTATTATTACGGTCATTACATCCACAGAAATAATCAGGGCAGACGCTCGATTTGTAACGTGCACATTTGCAACTCGTGGCAAACATGCTGTCGCTCGGGCAGTGGAAATGGTGTAATGGAGAGGAGTAGTCAGTCATCGGTGAATGAAGAGGAAGAAATGTTTCCAGGACTGAAAGGGGCTGTTGCAGGTATAATCGTTCAAACATTGTCGCACATGAATTAAATACGACTGTAAATAACCAGTTGTATATGGATGACTACATGGCGGTGGTTGGCACCCACTGTCCTAACCACGGAAAAAGCATGTAATTACATTCATTTACAGTATGTTTTGTAATATGCTATTGCAGGGTATGCTTTTGTAGGTCAGATGGCATTGAATGCCGAGTAAAATCATAGGGGGAGTGGTGTTAGACTCAGTAATTGATGGATAAAAAGCGGAAGGGCTTGAGGCAGCAGGACTTAAGGGAAAGCATTTTGCGATGCACGCTTACAAGGGCAGGAAGTTCCAGATCAAGGGGCGTATAAAGAGCGGCCTCCAAATGAGTGGTGGATGATTGAGTGATGCTTAAAACGCTTGTACATTATGTTCACAGGTCAAAACACATCAATAAAAAGTTGTATATGGCTGTTCTTGTGACAAAGTCTATGGGAAAGTGTGACAACACAGCTCGTTGGGTTTGTGTTGATGGCTATATAGTTGGTGGCTGGTGCTCAATGTCCAACCCAAATAACATTTTCTAACTTACATCCCCTTTGTCAAAGCACTGCTGCTTGAAATTCTCACCACACAATGTTCGTTTCATGGGTTGTGAACAAACCACTTCAGCTCATTTTTATAGTCATAACTGTTTTCAGCTACCTATTAAAACAGCCAAGCCCATGTTGACTGAACTGGTAAAAGAATCCAGGCACAATAATGGCAAACAGATTCCTTGAGTAAAGTGAGGCCAATGTAAGTACCTGCTATCAGGAATACATGCCTGTAAATGGTGTTTCAGGTGTATATCATTTGCGGCATCAGGCATATGTTCACATTTGTCCCTCAATTATGAGCTTGCTGAAGTAGTTTAAACCAAATCAACCATGCAAAACTAGCTTCTTAAAATCAACGTAGAAGACTGGATGATGTTACAATGGCAGGTTAGTCTGTTGACATAATCCCACAGAGCATGTGGAACCTTAACCAAAGCCACACTCAACACTTGAGCGACCAAATAATTTCACGCACTGAAGGCTGCATGGGGGCATCGATGTACGTGTTGGGGTGCGATTTCTCGCATCAGGGTTCGTCATTTATAACATAACAGTATTTTGTAGACGGTTTGGAGTCATTTATACTTTACATTTATCATCCTGACCAGCTGCAGAAAGCACAGTTGGCAACGCAGCTGATGCAGGCTCCCAATTGTGAGCACACAAGTTAAAATCCTGCCCATGGCTTACTCAGCCATTATTGCTCCGGGGTGTATAAAATTAGTATCATCTGCAAATAGTCCTTGGTGGTAACCCCATAACAGCGCGTTTGGCTATGTACGCTGTGAAAGACGGTCAACGTAAACACAAAGTGGTTGTCCTATGTTTGAAACTGTTCTATACATTATTAACCCGAACTCAACATTTAACCAATTGTGTTCAAGATGATCAACAAAGAATATGCAAAGTTCTAAATCTTATTTCAGCATGTACATGTTTTAATCGTAACATCATAGAAAGGGGTTTGTTTTGGATGTGTTCCATCAGTACATTGTCCAAAAGAGTAAACCCTGGACCGGTTTTTGAATGCTGTGGGTGTAACATATTACAACTGTATTGGCTACAGCCAGAGGGAATGCTACATCGATACCACAAACAGCACAGTATTATAAGATTTACCCAGAAAAGCATCACAGAGTCTCAGGACTCATTTTAAGAAGGGTCCTGGCATTCGGATATTTGTCCATTTCCATTACTGGATGTTTGGCTTCATGTACGAGACCATTACCATATACAGTATTTAAATTGTAGAAGTGCAACTACCGTTTTACTTAGTCTCATATCCATTTTGGTGATGTTAAGTTTAATCTAAATTTGTTCAAATAAAAAAAATGTGTAAAGCCCTTCAATTGTCTCGATAAAAGCACGCCTCGCTTGCAAACGAGGCAATACTGTTTCACCTGTTTCAATGGGTTTATTTAATCTCCTAGCTAAAGTAGACCTTCTCCAATCCACTTAACAACATTGGCCTACAACACCTTGATCCGTCCAGATAAGGGTGCATTTGAAGGGCATTTATCTATATGGGCCGAAAGTGCGCAGTATGCAGAGTCCAACTGCTCCAGTAACTTCCTCATTTTTGCTGTAAAGTACTTTATCACAATACAGTAAAGATTGAATATAATCACACCTTATTTAAGCAACACATCGTTACATATTACAAGTGGCGGTGCGGGGGGGGCAAATGTAACTTCTGGTATAAGCACACACGGCCTCGGATATAAGCACAGATGGCCTTACAATCCAGTGGGGTGTTCTTATAGCCAACTTCCACCGACTGTATTCCACTTCTGGCTTAAATCCCCAACCTAAGAACCGAGTGACTAACCAGCACACGGCCACGACTCACACACTCGACGATTTTGAAGCATACGTGTAACTTGCGTTCTCCTCCCCGTGTATAAACACCTACCTTCTTCTTGGTTCTTTCGGTAAAGTCACGTAGAAGGGAAATAATAAAATAATACAAATAAAACATAATAAAATAAAATTCTCACGACGTTTCGGCCACAACGCAAGCGTTGATTTTATTATGTTTTATTTTTATAATTGTATTATTTCCCTTCTACGTGACTTTACCGAAAGAACCAAGAAGATGAATCCCTGCAGTCACGAAAGCTTTAACACCTACCTTTCGCCGGGTCACTGTTGCGAATGACACTTGTTGTCCTGGATCTCCAGAGTTCTCTCGCTCGCCTGGTGAAACAGAATAAACGTGAAAGATGCGCCGTACAACTGGATTTACGTTACTGCCACGAACTTGCAATGTCGACAGACTGCGCGGGCACTTATATGGGTGCTGCCAACCTTCTATTGGCCTGGCAATTCATTATTATTATTTGTATTATTTTACAACGTCTGTAGGCTGTACAAGAACAAGGAAGTTCAGCTTGCGGTTTCGTTGCAAAAGATAAAAAAAAAACACCAAAGCGTTTCGCTTACTACCGGACGGATGCATCTTCTTCATTATCAAGTCTCGCACACGCAACGCTGGTACACACACAAACACAAACACGCCGCGCGTGTAACATCACCAAGCCGCACGTTGTTTGTCGCAGTGGGCTACGTGCGGTGCAAAAGAAGTTCAACATACATGGAACGTCGGGAGCAACGTTGGGCCAATATTTGTGGAACTTGCTAAAATTGGTCTCAACAAACACCCCAACGTTGAGCTAACGTTGGTTCAACCACACGCCAACGTTGGGCCAATATTGGTGAAACTTGCTAAAGTTGGTCTCAACAAACACACCAACGTTGAGCTAACGTTGGTTCAACCACACGCCAACGTTGAGCCAATATTGGTGAAACTTGCTAAAGTTGGTCTCAACAAACACGCCAACGTTGAGCCAACGTTGTTGGTTCCACCACATTACGTCGGCCCAACGTACACGAGGCGACGTTTAGGGGGAGGGCAATGTCCCTCCATCAAACTGCCAATGGCGCAGTGCTGAGTGGTCACCGCACGTTGTATCCGGTAACTCGACTTGCAACAAGTCGCGTTACCGTGACTGGCAAGCGCGGGTTGGCGTTACACAACTGCGACCCGCATTGCAAACGAAATGGCAAATTTGTCTAATGCACACGCAATCACCGTGGCCTGGCGTTGTTATGATACAATACGTGTAAAGTAACACCGTGCTCACTTTACAAAGAAAAAAGTTACATGTTGACCAGAACAATGACGATGTTAGCCGTACAACAACAAACAACAAAAACCCCGAGTAGTCGTTGTGGCCCCAACAAGAGACGCACCAAAAGCCGCACGCCGCGTCCCCGGATTTAACGGCGTGAAACGATGGAGGCCGGACTCGTCTCCGAAAAGCGACAACTCACGTTACATCCGCAACAAACCTTTCTCTTACTCTTGTTTTTCTGGCGAGGGCTTGCTGTGCTTGCCTGCTTAGGGCGCGCCGACGTCTCGGGGAGAGAGAAAGTGAAACGTGCGGAAAGAAATGGCTCCCGGACAAACCAGTTGTTTGGGTTATGTTCACAGCACTCTTTTGATCCGATCTCTTCCTCCCAGTGTCGCACACGGAAGCACGAGGAGGCTTCGTCAGCTGCGTGCTGTTAGTTAGCCACGCCTCGGGGTCGTCTCCGCCGTGCCGGGCTCACTCATTGGTTTGCTGGATGTGGTGGTGGTGGTGATGATGTGTGTGTGGGGTGGTGGGAATTGGGGAAAGTTTGCGTGCTGTGGGCTGCAAAAACTCCACTGTCGCGTGACCCGGGTCAAACGGAAGCAGGGATGAGCACAATTCAATCTTAGAGAGAGGTATTCTTAGGTTTTTTTCGGTAAAGCCACGTAGGTAAAAAATTAATAAAAGTAAAATAAAAATCACGACGTTTCGGAGGCAACACAAGCTTCCGTCTTCAGGTGGAACCGTCACAGCACGATAGCTGTATCAAGTGAGAGAAATTCCAAGAAAACAGTATTTGTATATATACTGGTTGAGGGTGGGAGGAGCCAAGGTAGGCCCTGAATATTATTATTTTTTTAGAGAGAGGGTCTTGACCTTTGAGCCATATCTCACGGAGATGGTCCCTTGCCTCTTAACATCTGGAAGTTCACCGGCAAATGATTGAAGTGAGCAAGTGTGGCCCTTATCCTGAAAGAGAGGTTTCCTGGCCTGGAACATCTCTGGATTTTCACCGGTATTGATTCAAGCAAGCAAACAAGCCTAATCCTGGCCCATATGTTAAAGAAAGGGTCTTGCCATTAACATTTGGAAGTTCACCGGCATTAAATCATGCAAGTTTGACCCTGACACATATCTTTAACATCTGGAAGTTTGACCCTGAACCGTATACCTTTAACATCTAGTAAGTTTAGCCAGCACTGATTTGAGCAAGCCTGATCCTGGCCCATATCTGAATCTAATTTTATAAAGCGCATTCACTCACCGGCATTGATTCAAGAAATAAATCGTGTCTGCTGATGAGATTCTGTAAGTCAAAACCGGTTCAGAATCCATGCTGCTGAAATTTACTCCCAAAAAGCCCGTGGGACCAAGAGGAAATACTTTTTTTTTTAATGTGGAGAGATATGGAGACATTAGATGCGTATCTATTTCGTTAAATAGGATGGGACATAAAAAAAAACTTCGATATATCAAACGCTGTTTTTATTGAAAACATTGACCGTACACAAAAAATGTGGGAACTAAACATCTAAAGAAATGTTGTTTTTCAGATAAAGTAATGAATTACATTTCATAAAAAATATGATACTAGCTGTTGCAATACCAACACGACAACCACCCATCATCGTTATCAACTTTGTTCTGTCAACTGCTGGATGAAGGTTGCGCTGCGCGCTCGCTTGCCGTTTTGTCACGCTCCTATCGATGCCAACTTCCATGTTGGCTCCTGCAGATGAGCTGATCTCATTGTCACTTATCTCCCTGGTGGACGGTGGTTGTCCTCTTGCGCGTGCATTGCCCATTTTGGCTCTTGTTTCAACACCAGTGTCGTCCATCTGCCGTCATTTATACGAGATGATCCCTGCACACTTTCTGAATCAGTCAATAAGATCATGTCATTTGGAAATTGTTTCTGATGCATTGTGCGTGTTCCTCTGTTTCTCGTTTTAATTCCGAGAATACGTACAGCAGTGCTTATTTGCACACTCTTCAGTTTCTGTTCCATTATATTTCATGTTTCGTTGTTCCTGTTTCCGATCCATATATAATGTAATGACAGATCATATGAAATGATTGAAAACCGTATTAGGTTACTTTGGTATGTTTTTCATGATTAAATTAAGTTTTCCCTAAAGCGGTACACGCTACAATATATTATGTTTAAAAGATTACACTAACTGCTGACCCTGATATTCAATGCCAGCCCTGATCATTTTACTTTCAGTTTCGTTGTTTAAGCCATAAGAAATAGTGAATCCACTGTTGCATGAATGTCTCCCCAAGCTGTTTCCATCTCCCACAATCCTACAATGTAACAACCCAACCCAGCATCTGCACATGAACTTATTTCATCACTCCTTCTCCTCGACGGATGGCCTCCGAGATGCATTCTATTCCTTAGAATTATATTCCTTGGAATGCGTCTCAGAAGGCCATCATTCCTTCTCGCGATGTCTTTCTGAACAGTTAGCAAATAAGTAGGGCGAAGCGCATGAATGACATTTTATTTTCTATTTATTATAAATACATAATTCACTCAGTTAAAAAAAATTATACTGGATAATACAGTATTCGTATTTTACAGCTAATGGACAATACATGTAATATTATACACAGCTGATTGTATTCGTGTGATCTGGAATGCGCACTGTTAAAAGTATAAGTTGATACTATGAGATCTCTTTTACCAGTGGCAAAATATAGTAGTAGGTTTTTACCCTTTTAAACTGGTACAAAACTGACACCTTTATTCAAGGCATCATGTTTGCAATAACCACAACACAAGTAGTCAAAAAAGCAAACAAAAAGAAGCAACTCTGATAATGATAATAATATGCACGGTCCTTGAAGTTGATTGGTCCACACCCGAGACGGCTTCAAGGACAGTGCATATTATTATCATTATCAGAGTTGCTTCTTTTTGTTTGCTTTTTTGACTACTTGTGTTGTGGTTATTGCCAACATGATGCCTTGAATAAAGGTGTCAGTTTTGTACCAGTTAAAAAGGGTAAAAACCTACTACTATAAGTTGATATATAACGTGTCATGCTGTTCGCACGTCCTTACTGTCGTACCTGGTCAACAGTGCGCTTAACAATACCATCACCAATCACATGAATGCAGAGACGAACATGAAACTGGTTTCCTCTTACAGTACAGTATAAAGAAAACCCTATGACTCGCAAGTTGAGAAGTTGTTTGACTTTGTCAAATACAGCACTCGTGCTTTTATAACTTTTCAGAGCAAAACTTGGAGGAAATAATCAGCTGAGAAAATCACAATCCCGACCAGAAGCGGCTTCGAGGTGTAATGGCATTAATAGTGTTGGCCGGCATGATGACCTCATCCTAATCCTTTTCTATTATGAAAAATAAAATAAAAGTATTTATTACACAAGTCATTAGTCGAACGACCTTCTGGTGGTGCTTTACTTCAACAGCATGAATTCAGCACAAGCAAACTCTGAACCGGTTTCGACACGAGTTTCTCATCAGCAGTTAGGATTTCTTGAATCATTGCTCGTCAACTGCTAGATCTTAAAGAGAGGGACCTTGCCTATAACATCTGGCAGTTCACAATATTTGAATTAAGCAAGTATTCTAAAAAGCCACTGGATGTCGTTAACTGGTCAAATGACTGCTTGTACTGAATTAATGCTGCTGAAACTGTGCACTCACAGAAAGACGTTGGCCGACAGGTAGTCTGTGTTCAGGAATACAGTACTTTTATTTTGTTTATGTGGCGAGACAAGAGTAATCAAGGCGACGGCAATGGTGTGAATCCACCGTTTGATATTTTCCCCACAATGACCCTCGCGATGATTCTGTGTTGATTCAATCATGTCCATGTTGGCGAGAGTAACACGCAGTACGATACACTCCTGTAGTCACCACACATGAATAATTGTTCAAAATAAAAGTTTTCATGGAGCCATTCACACATTGTTTGTGGCATCCCTGGGGGGCGTGAATTGTTGCGATTCAATTCACAAGACAGCTCGATTGCAGCTGCCAGGTGGATTGGACCGTAAGAGATTGCGACGGCTTGGGGAGGAACTTGACCCAGCAATGCAGTGACTGGTAATGATGACAACGACGTTGAGCTGCGCGTACATTTGTAATCAGCAGAGGGCAGCACAGTGCTGCGGTACAGCACTGATGAAGCCCAATATGTCTATACGACATCTCGTCCAGTGGTTCTGAATCGGGGGTACGCGGACCCCCTGTGAGGTACGTGGCAATGTCCCAGGGGGATTTATAAATGGGACATTATATCACGCATGAGAGTCATTGGTGAATAATCATGTATGAATCTGCGAATGTAAAATAACAGATAAATTTGAAATCCATATGGTAACCTTACGGTCACCTAGAAAGCAAAAAACAATATAATAGATGTAAAATATCTTTATAAACTCATAGATCAGAAACAATGTGGTTTCCAAGAGTCACCAGCGAGCGTGAACCAATGATGCCGTGCATGCAGAGCGTCCGTTGAATTAGTTATTCGCTTGCCAGTTAGGAAACCTCACTAAACGGTCAATTTGTTCAAATATTGATGCTCATTATTCATACATTCATTTCTCAGAACAATGTTGGGCCAGGCAAGGGGGGTAACTCGTCGTTCTTTTCTCAATCCGCTTGTCCTGGCGAGGGTGTTGAGTCGGGCGGTCCAGACCTCCCTTTCCCTGGCCACACGACGACACCACACACGACTTTACACAGACACCAGCTCTTCCTAGGGAATTCCCAGGCCAGCCGAGCGACATCGTCCAGCCAGCGTGTCCTGGGCCGGGGTCTTCGCCCGTTGGGTAATGCCTGGTAGAATTCCAGGGGGAGTAGGGGGGGGGGCATCCTTACCAGGTGCCCGAATCATCTCAACTGGCTCCCATTGATCTATAGGGGCAGCAGCGGCTCGGATCACAGAGATTGGTGAAGCCCGGCAACCCTGCGGGGAAGCCTCATTTTGGCCACTTTGTACCCGCGATCTCATCCTTTCGGTCACTACTAAACGCTAATGACCCACAGGTGTGGGTGGGAACGTAGATCGACCTGTACACCGAGAGCTTTGTCCGAGAACTCTGCTCCCGATTCAGTGCCCGCAACATTGCGGACGCCGCACAAATCCACCGGCCGATCTCCCGCTCCCACTTTGCTGTGCTGTGCTGTAGTCTGTACATTGCGTTCATAACGCATCGTTTTAATCCCTAACGTGTTGCCCACAAGTTTTCGGCTCGTTAGACACACTTACCTGTTGATGTAGTGGAGTATTTATGCGATATAAACTCAATTATATATAATCTCGTATAAATGTCATAAATGCCTACGCCTATGAGCAAAGGTTTCAAACAACACACAACATTTGTTAAAAGCACATTTTTTTATGATATCAGTGCCGTCACTATGAAAATACATTTCCATTCGGAACTCTCAGTTAGCAGTGGCAGAACAGTCCCGGAATAAGACGCCACATAATTGATGTCGAAACCACTTTATGTGCGTCGTATACTAAACCATACAAATATATATTCAGAAATAAAATAAAAAATGTACACGCATTACATTTTATGGCTTTGTATGTAGGTATTGGTGACCTGGCTCCGACCATACAACTCTCCACAATTCAGACACCAGATTGAATTAAACACCGGCGGTTGATGGGTGATATTGATGCAATGGATAACGGATCCCAGTCAAGAGTCTCATAAATTGATGGCAATTGAGGACGAATACTTAAAGTTAGGGCTACACATCTCTTCGCGGGTCAAGATTAAGATTCAGAGTACGGATGCTGGCCCAGCAGCGCCGAACCCGGCCATGAATGACCAGATCGTCGCAAGCGTTTAGCAGCTCATTTATCTTGGTAACCTGCAAGACTCGCTCAGCGGCTCTCGAGCAAAAATCACGCGTCGCATCGGATTGGCAGCGAGCTTGCATTAAGAATGGCCTTTCATGTGTCTCGCGTCAAATGCATCGCTGCCTTCAGATAAAATTGCGGCTGTACGTGTGATCGATATTGTCGGTGCGGATGCATGCATCTGAGACATGGACATTAACTCAGTGCGACTTTGACCACCTACAATCATTCCAACATGCGCCACAAATTCTAAAGTGGTTTTGAAAGAATAAGGAATTCTGAGTTTGCTCGGTGGACTTCTGTTGCTCACATCGGCACGACATTTCAGCAGTGAAGACGTGCGCCATTTGGAAACATCGCACGAATGGATTATTTTACTCCGAATCATTTGGTGCACGTGTGGTTTGCACAAAACGGAATGCTGCTTAAATCCGGATAAAATCGGAGGTTCTGTTCGTTAGCACTCAGAGTCGGGCGAAAACATTTGTGGAGGGAGCAGGTGGAGCGGTTGCAGACTCCAGGATTCAGTTTTCTACTCATCTAAAGAGCCTTGGCACCATACTCGAAGAGAATGTTTTTTGATCACCACTTGCAAAATATAGTCAGGTCCTGCAATTTTCATATCAGGCTCTACGACATATTTGCGACATAGCCAACACGGTGGCGTGTAGCATAGTATCGACAAAGCTCGAATATTGCAACTCACTACTCTACAGGACGTCTGGCAAAAACATTACAAGGCTGTACTAAATTCTTTTGCACGTGTCATGAAGGGTACTGCAAGATCCGACCATGTCCTTCCAGTGGCCACCAAGCTTCATTGGCTTCCAGTTTCTGAACAAATACATTATAAGGCCGCACTCAATACACACAAAGTGATTGTGACAAATTAAGAAATACCTTGCTGATCTCGTAAAGGAGCATAAACCATCACGCGAACTCTGGTCATCCTCTCAGCGGCTTTTGGCTAGCCATCAAACAAAGACGGTCACTGCATCGTGCACTTTCATGTGCACTTCTGCGGCCGTCTGGAAAGCTCTTCCGTCAATATTAGGAAGCCACTGGAGCTATGCAATTTTAATATATTGGAAACTCGTGTCTTTAGAACTGCTTTTTTGGTGTTTAGTTTGTTGTCCTTTTTGGTCGCCCACGTAACACCTTGCTGACTGTGCCAGGACAAGCAGGGCAATATGATCTCTCCTGATCGCCAGCGCATGGACTCGTTCCTCCGATGGGCGATTGTGCAAGGCGGCGACGGCCTCGAAAGACGACGCGGTTTAGTGAGTGAGGTAGCTAAAATCCACGGTCGAAGGTTTACACTCGGCGTTTAAGTCATGCTGGCTTGAAGTCTCTAACATGGATATGATTAGTCACCGAAGTCAAGCGATCACCTTCAATAAGCTACTTTGGATGCAGACACTACCCATATAGAATCCACACTCTTATGTCGAAGCCGCTCCAGAGTTTGCTTGCACTTATTCAAGGCTGCAGAAATTAGGTATTTCCAGAGGGCCGTACGGCCAATTGTGTAAGATATATGTTTTATATTTTTACGTGGAGAGACAGATATATGATTGAAACATAACTATTTTGCTACATCGAGAATGCATTCGTCATGCATCTAAAACTGTAAAACTCTGCATTTGTATGCAACGACTCAAAACCAATGTCCAGCTTTGCAATGACCGACTCACGCCACTGCTGACAGAATGACCTCAACGATAGGGAGCTGTAGAGAACCTCTGTAGACGGAATTTGGCCTATTCCTCCACATATCCTGGATAGGTGGGAATACTCACACGCGAGGTGCCGATTGATGAACTGTTGCGTACCCATTTATACTACTAGATGGACAAGCCGGGGTGGGGGGAGGGAATTCAAGAAACTTACAGACTGATTTAACTGCCGCGCCAGGAGATCGCACAAGCGGCGACCTCTCAATTGCAAGTCCAACGTTGCCCTTAGCGATTATCGGCGACAATATCCCGTGCGGTGAGTGACTAGCGTGGCATATACGTAGGATTGGCACCGCTTTTGGTTACAATTTTTAACACGAATTTGTTCAGTGGCTCAACCATCGTGCTATCTAGGACACATTAAATATGTCATCGACGTGCAGCACTCCCTATTATATTACCGTATTGACTTATCCAATTGTTTCCAGCGCAATGATAATGTATAAAGGACTTGCCAATTATCTCGGCAGAGGGCGCGATTAGCCAGTGTTCTTTTATCTTGAGCAGCTGACAGATGTCACTTCTGCGTTCCCATAAACGCAATTACAGATACAGCCGTTAAGATGCCGCATTAGAATGCAAAATAGATTTCTTTATTCCAGTCTTACATCGAGTACAATCTATATCGCACAATGTTCTATATATATTCGACTGACAATCGACACATACCAAAATGACCCACTTTTCCATTAAATGTTCTGATTGCACATTTACTCCAGTTTTATTAAGGGGTTTTTCGAAGAATATTGTCCATTTAATAAACTAAAATTTAATTGAAAAAGAGCTGACCCATTCATAAATACCCCACTCATCTATAATGGCCCTCTTACTTTGTTCTCAACAGGTGATTGAGTTGGCTTCGTATCTTTCGAGGATGGTAAAATATTCTAAATCGCATATTGAGCTTGGTGGGACACACGGAGAGACTTTGAAATACAAGTTTTCTCTATAATGTATCCCTATTATTTTAGACGGACATACATATATAGAAACGCTTAACCGTATACTATGTCAGATTTAAATGAGTATTTTTAGAGATACAGCGTCGTATTGGATGATAATATATATTTAACAAAAATTTGCTTTAAAAAATATATTTTATATTGTGATTATGATTTGCGAGCAATTTTGTATTTGTATTGTCTGTTATTGTTTATTATTGATTGATTTTATACTGTGACTTGTCGAGAAGCGGTGTTGTTTTTGTTGATGAAGCCCGATTTAAGAGCTGTTTGGCTCACAGGGTACTTCAAAATAAACTAAACTGTATAAACATTCCTACCGTGTCCTACCAAGGTAGAACAAACAAATGATGTGGGTGGTAATGGGTGATATTGACATGCGGTAATTGCAAACATTAACATAATTGAATATGATCGTTGAAACACGCGAATTATGTTTGTGAGCTCTAATAGACTTAGTTTTGAAATGTATTGATAGTCATAGAGGCTATAGTAGTTACGATGCAGTACTTTATAATTTCAGTGGACTCGTAACGTTGTAGCGGAGGAGGGATTATTGCCTTAAGATATTTTCCATATTTTCCCAAGCACACACACCTCTACAAATATCTCCTGTATATAACCTTAACATACTCTAGGGACAAGTTCTGTCAGCAAACCACTCCACAGCACCACGTCCAGCCGCCTTTCTCACAAGTGACGATATTTAACACACCGCACCAGATACTGTGCTTATTTGAGGATGTAGCCAACGTAGGGGAGGACCATGATCAGTTCGGATAATTCGTCACCGGTATTGGTGGCCTTAGAACGGGAATCGAACTCGGCTCGCCAGATTCGCAGCGCAACGCGCTAACCAGTGTGTCACCAGCTCCGCACAGGTCCACCACACATACAGACCATCACAAACACCATGACAGCAGCAGCATCATCATTATCAGGACAATACAAATAATGATGGCGAGCCAAAATAACCACCGTGCCGCTGTTACGGTAACTGTTTCGGGACTGAGACGTGATATCCCATTGAAATGCAGAAATCAAAGCATGAATCAACCGGCCACCGACAGGGTCCGCTAACACAGGTGTGCATTACAAGTCCAGGTGCACCACCACCCCGCTTAGCGTGACGCGCGCTTTGATAACGACAGAACCTACCTACGCCGGGCTCTCTATTCCGTGTTCAATGAATGCAAACCTCACCAGCGGCATTACACAGCGACAACTGCCGTCGAAAATGCACCGCCGATTGGAGCGACTGCGAGATAGTGTGTGAACAACGTCAAAGAGAGAGGAGAGAGAGAGAGGAGAGAGAGAGAGCTGTGGGAGCAAAATCACAGGTGGCGATTAATATTCATTGCGCGTAGGCGCATCATGAATATTAAGCGCGTTGTGACGAACGTGGTGGCGAGCGCCTCTGTAAGAGCGCTCGGGCATCCGAAGTGCACGACAGCCTCCTTCACTCGCAACCAGCCGTCACTGGGAGTACATCCTCACCCCTCCCCACCTCGCTCTCTCTCTCTCTCTCTGCCCTTTATCTCTCTACAGCCCCAGCTCTCTCTCTCTCTGCAATTCCCTCCTCGCTTGCTCTTTGCTCCTCGCTTGGCGGCTGCTGCTGCTGCTGCTGTTCGCCTGCTGACATGGCCGGGGCGCGTGCGGGTGTGCACGCCCTACAGCTCAAGCAGATCGGCGTTCCAGACGCCCTCAAGAAAGGAAACAAGTTTATAAAGTGGGACGACGTGAGTAGCATTAGCCACCCACCCTGCCACCACCTCCACCCTACTTGTCCGTTCTGCTGGCCGTCGCTGTACGCGATCTGAGAGAGAGAGAGAGTGAGCGAGAGATGTTGATGATGATGATGATCAATATCCCACGCCGTGGTGGCTGTGTGTGTGTGGTGTCTGGTGGTCGGTGTTGCGCGCTTCCGTGCGCTGCTTGTTGAACAACGCAAGCCAGAGAGAGGTGTGAGTGAGTGTGTGTGTTGGTTATTTTGGCGACGACTGTTGCGCTCGGTTTGGCTTTGTCAAAAAAAAAAAACATTCCAAGACGAACCTTGCTATCAGCTGATATTGACACCGGTTTTTTTTGGCGCTCTGCTTCTACCGGTAGTTTGTTAGTTAGTTGTTTTGCCCGGCGCGACAAGTGTTTGTCGACAGGAGGACACGGCAGTCCGTCCCACGGCAGATACGAGGCGACCTTTTGCTGCGCCCGCGTGTGTGTCTCTGTGTGGCCAACCTTCATAGGTGCTCGCTAACGGCACTTGCCCCAAAAGTGCCTTAAGGCTATACGGGGGATCTTTGTCTTTGTGGCTACGTCCCCTCCCTCCGTGTAGCCTTTAGAGCCCCGGGGGGATGGGGGGGGCCTTTGTCTATGTGGAAACACAGAGACAAAGGTCCCTTCTTACAGACTGTTGGGGACGAGTGCCCTGAGCGAGCACCTTTCCTGAATGCCGGCACGGCACACGAGCGCGTGTGGGTGACCAGCGCCACGCCCGCGCGCCTTTGTCTCCCCAGTGCTGAGGTTTACCCACCGGCCTAGGTACTCTTTTGAGGCCGAGTTGACCTAGGGGATGCTCGGTATTAGTTCGGATAATCGTCACTTGGTGTTGGCCGTGGGCGGTCACGCAGAAACACGCGCGTGTGTGCAAGCGGTAGTTGAGTGCTGAGCGCACTGCGCAACGCAGCCGCACCATGACCAACAACATCAGTCGCGATTGTCTGAACCGCTCCTGGGCCTCCCCTAGGTCGACTCGGCGTTAAATGAGTTCCTGTTGCGGTGTGTAAACATCGGCAGTGGTGGGGTAGGGGGGCGACAAAGGCGGGGTCCAGGCGTGGTGTTGTCCATCCCACCTCCTCGTGTGGCCGTGTCAGCCTTCGTAAAGGTGGTCGCGAACTGCACTTGCTCCATCAGCCTGTTTAAAAGGCTACGTGGTGAATCTCGTTTCGTTTCGTTGTCTTTGTTTGTTTGTGGTCATGGACGTGAACGGCACGCGGTCGCGGTCGATGTGTGCCTTTGCTCGCCGTCATTCATTCGAACTGAATACAGGGACAATAAATCCATAGCCGCGATTGCATTATACCAGACCGCATCACGCACCGCGGCGGACGTAAAGGGTTTGTTCCGCTTAATGATTGTGCCTGCCTCCGTCTCTCGAAGAGTCCTCTTATTATTTAGTACACTTCAATCGCGGTGTACGCCCACGGTGATGTACTACTGCACGGACTGCCCGCTCCCCCATTTGCCCTGTCCGTCTTGGCACCGCCAGGCATTTGCTGCTATTCTTGTTCAAGTGTTGAACACACAGTACGCCGGGATACTGTGGACGCCAATAAAGGCTATGAATAGGCCAATAAGCATTGTGCGCGCGACAGCTTTGCCTTCAAGCCTAGCAGTGGATAGAAAAATTGCCGATGGTGATGGACAGACGTGATGAGTGCAGACGACGTGCCCCTTCACGAACAAAATCGTTACCAGGGCCACGTGCTGCGCACGCATCACGAGTTCACGGAGATAAACGTTTGCTGATCAAATGTGAACCTGCCTTATTTAAGCGGAGCTATCCATCTCTGCTAAAAACAAGAAGGCGATTATCCAAAACGTCGCCTATTTTACATAGACATTTCTCTTCATGGCAGTGCCATCGACGAACGCGTTGCATTGTTTATTATTCGTGTTCATGAACCACTTGTCAACGCATTGTCACTGCACGCATTGCGAGCAATTGCCTCGAAACTTGGGACGGTGCTGATTGTGCGTCGATCAACGCGGCTCAGTCGTGGTGTTAAGAGACCCTTGGCAGGGAAACCATGGCTTCATCAAACGCTTCGCATGACCAGGGGTGGCATAACCAAAGAAGCAGCTATTCTGGTTTCGCAGCCCGTTTCTCAAGTGCTGTTGTTGTGCTGCCAGTGGCATCTTTCCATTCATCCTTCATCCGAGCAGCGGTCAGATAGATGCCTGCCGCCGCGCTCTGTGCAAGTGAACACTGCCAGAATGTGTGAAACCTCTCTACAGTATTTATATACCGTGCTGTACATACAGGGCTTAATTTCTCTATCTCCCCCCCTCTCCCCCCATGCCGAACCTCCCGAAGCCCACGTCAGGAGGGCCGGGAGTATTTTCCGGAAATTAGTCCCGGACAGCTCCAGCTGAAATGAAACCCTGTGTGCATAGGCATATATATACTGCATGTCTACTGTATAGGCAGACATTTCCATCGCATGTGACCATTTGATGTTTCAGAAATTGAGATGCGTGGTCGTTGCCCTCGCAGGAGTGTGGGGAGTAGTGTGAGCTGCAGGGCACCAATGGCATTGGTCGTAGAGTGGTCGATGATTTGTAATGCCCGCGACGGTCAACACTTGGCACGTGACGTCACAATGCACTGGGGAAAAAAAAACTTCCGGCGAATTTGTGAATGCCGACTTTAAACGTTCAGAATGCCTCTAAATCGTGCAAGGAAGTCATGCGCACACAACGCGCTGTTTATTCGGCAAAACCCCATGAAATCTCAAGTCTGCCATTCTGAGACTGTATTTTTTGGTGTAAAAAACTAAAGTAACAATAAAAAATGTAACTGCCCAGCACTGATGTTTCCAGAAAACATTTTGCGTACTACCTTTCTACCCCAACAGATGGATTTCCCAAGCACATGATCCACCAACCTTGCGCCTCTGTTGGTGTTTTTATAGGCACACGTCACCACACCCGCTCATTTCCTTTGCACCGATGATGAATTTCATGAGAAACACGCCCTTCATTATAGTAATGTGAATCATCAACTGTCATTATCATCAGCCATGGTCAATCCACTGCTGGATGAAAGCCTCCCAAGCCAACGCCATCTCTCCCAATCCCGTGGTGTAATAATCTACCTCGCACCAGTGCACAAAAGCGAATTTCTATACTCCATCTCCTTGCGGGATGTCTTCCATCTCGAAAACATTTCATCCCTCGGCTGCCAATTCGTCATTATTCTTGGCCATCAATTATATATTTTTCTGAAATGTTCCCTGACTAGCTATCGAGGTGATGTTTTACATAGACAACGAGGTATTGCAATATAAAATAGCAGCATCATGCTTGAGGCATGCTTATGCATTGTTACTGTAATACTCGGCACTCGATGTTTTGAATAAAATAACATTTAAAACGAGTTATTTTGGAGACGTATAATCTAGTTATCATTTGTAACATCTTGTAATCTGTGGATCTATGTCTGAATAATATCTGCACCATTCTCTTCTGTCACCGCATTTTAACTATGTCAAGGGCCTTGAGTGAAGATGCTCTATAAATATAAAATAAGATATATGGATGTAGACAATTGTCATAAAAAGGAGCGTAAATGCATTATAATAGATGAGATTGCATTGATAAAGTAAGTACTATTAAAATGAAATAATTGTAGTCAGTAACATTGTTTAATGAATTCAGATGCAACATTGATGCATATGATGAAACTGATACATACACCATCGCATTGATAGCCTATAAACGGAATGTGACTCATTGTAAGTCAACTAAACGAGCATTAAAATAAATATTTTCCAAGCCATTCTCAATCCACCATGATTGAAGGCCTTCATATAGGGGGATTTTGACCATACTTCATCACAATGGTCAGTATTAGTTGGTGAAGGGGAGGGGGAGGCCGGACCGGCTCTGATATCACTCACCACTGATGTTAGCCGTGGCCAGGATCAAAACTTGGGTCGCCAGGTTCATAGACAGCGTGCAAACTACCACAACCTCCACTTCACCTCAACCCAGCAGTAAGTTACTGCTAAGATAAAAAAAAGCATAAATGTCATTGCCGCTTACTTTAATAAGTTAGAATTCTATTGTTAGACTAGGTTAATTACATCCCCAAAGGACAACAGCAAAATGTCCCACTCCCTGAAAATCTCAGACAAATACGAACGTGATTTGTTTGTGTTGTTGCCATGACTTTGTTTTGCAGTATTTAATTAAAAAGGGAATGTTTTTTCATCCGCGATTGCTAGGACCTGAATATATACACTACTGTGACTGCTTTTAAAGGGAACACGAATATATCACGCACACATGACATTTTTTTTCACAACTACAAATAAATGAGAATAAGAAATACAGCACATGATCCTTGACTTTTTACCATGGTTGAAGGGCACTTCGACGTTTTGGAAAGCCAAAAATAATAGGATGAGAGTGGCTAACGTGTGATGGCTTTTCATCTGGAAATTGAGTGAAGCACATTCTACATTTTCACGTAAAAAATAATATACTTTAAAGGTTTAGTTGATTATATCCCGTGCTGTAATAGTTAATCCAACTGGCCTTGTAATCCAGAGGTCGCCGGCTTGTTCTTCTGGCGCGGCAGTTGAAGTTATGTCCACCCAACGGTATAAATGGTACGCCGCAATTAGTCGATCAGCAGATAGAATAGAGCGCCATCACTCTGACCTCTTCCAAGACATCTGGGCAGCAGGGAAGAGCAGGCTAAAATATCCTATAAGGGACTGTTTTAGAGCTCCCTCTAGTGAAGGCCTTTCTGCTAGCAGTGATGTGAGCAGGTTACTCTTGGGCTGAACCTTTACCTACAGCACGTTATATTTTCATGATGATTAAATGAGGCAGTTTCTGTAACTATTCATTCTCCCCCCCCCCCCCACCCCTGATGATCTGAAGAATCGTAGTGCTTCAGGATCACAATTTAATTTAATACACTTTTTTTTATTGTGGTGAATATAGCGGCCACTAGTCATGTGAACCAATTTCTTACAACGTATACGAATTAAATACCTGCAACATCAATAATTCCACCCGCACACTTGGAGGCATGTATAGCAAAGCTTAGTCGCTAATATTAATTGATAAATCAATGCAACATTTTCTGAATGATCTGGCATGCATGCATAACATAAACTCTTTCATCCAATAATCGACAAACAGTCACCATAATAATTGATTCAAACTAACAATTACAGGTAAAAAACAGACTACATGATTTGCAATGAGTTAACATTTCAAGAATGCATAATGTAACAAGCGCTAGTGTGCTCACCATTTACTTTATCGGTTCAGCAGAGCATGCTCCAAATACATTGTAGCCACACAAAGAAAGCTTATCAACCTCGGTAACATTATTATCAACTTCGGTTTTCATGGAAACTAAACACAGGTCAAAGACAAGTTGATTTATTTAGCAAATGAGCATTGAAGCAGTGATCATGTTGGAAATTACACATTATGTTGTGGGGGGGGGGGGGGTCTTCCATTGGACAACCCACTGTTGACTTCCCCACAAAGTGGCACTAATTGTATCAACCTCGGATGGATGATTGGCCAGGTCAACAATCGACCAGGATTTCAAACTGCTCGCTCTAGCGCTTTAGGAAACGCAACGGCGCGATTGAATAATAAAAAGTGTGTGTAATGCATATAAAATATGTATTATAGTGCATATATAGGCAGTCCGTCAGGTGTAATCATGGGGGATTCATATAGCTTGTGATGTTGGCTTCAGGGTTCAATTGCCTGACCTCAGATGCATTGTGGCTGTATCACCTAATGTTGTCACAAGACTTTGAGCTTGCCAAAACAAAAAAATAGCTTCACTCAGCCCTTTTTATATATATTGGCGTCATACATTACCTATACATTAGGTCTGTAAAGCAGCATTGACGAGCATGGCAGTCTTAATCACAACATCAATTGATGTATAAGCATAAACAATAAATTAAGCCCTCCCAATGCTGCAGTCGTCTCACGATCCTCAAATTAACATCTCATAAGAATTCATATTATTTGAGTCTTTCGGTAGAGCCACGTGGATAGAAAAAATAATAACAATATCACGATGATTCGATCGCAAGACGGGCGAGTGAGTTAGAAAGCCCCGAAAGACCCAAAGAATATGAATGAACGAATATGAATTCCTGCAGTCACGAAAGCTTTAAGTCAAGATTTATCTCATAAGAATATTCAAATGAAGCCGTTGCTCAGTTTTCATATGTATGTAAAATTGGACTTGTGTGAGGAAAATTCACTATTTTCGTACGTATTTGCAAAATTAACTATACAGTATATCACTTTAAGCCTAGTTGCCGAACCTGTTTTCGCGATGTTGGATGTATTCAAGTAATTGCTGTAATGTGAAAGTATTCAAATAACTTTCAATTGCCACTAATCCATGCAATAAGCCAGCCCCACTCTGCCCCCTTCCATAGCTTCATCACCTGTGACCCTCACCTCTCCATAACCTTGTTGTTGGCTTTGAATTTTTTTTACGTAAATTATAACATTTTATTATAATCACTATACTGTCTTTATAGACATACAAACAAAAAAAACCCCAAATATTTGTTTTATGCCACGTTATCGCACATTGTTCTGGAAAATGTAATAAATATGTAAATATCGCCGCTAAACACAAAATCACGAACTGATTATGATCACTCAAAATGCACCTGACCTCGTCAGACCTCGGATGCAAAGCAGGTTGAGCCTCGTGAGCGCTTCGATGGGTATCCACCGGGGCTTGCAGGGGTATTGTCGGCATGGTCAGGGTATGGCAGTATTGAGTTTCACGTTTTGTATGCATGGCTTTACTCTGGGTTCTCTGGTTTCCTCCCACATTAAACAAAACACTTATTAATGGTTTTTGCCCAAACATTGCTTTTTCAGGATCCTCCTCAAAACGTATTGAGACTCAATAAGGCTTTCTTTTGCTAATTAATTAACATATCAGTATGTGTGCTTACCCATTTCCTTTTTTGTCCACTCACTTTTCTCTTTTTTGCTGTACCCGACACCTCCATCTGCAATAGTCTCTTTCAGTATCCAAACCTTAATATTTACATTATGGTGGTGAAAAAAACTTGTCGTTGATAGTTGCTGAAAAAAAATGGGAATTCAATGAAATAGTTTGCTTTATTATCATCATCATCATACGGTTTGGGATGAGAGAAGTTCAGATCGTGATTCGGGGCTTTCTAACTCGCTCGCCCGTCATGCACCCTTTCACTTCTGTTCCACAGGATTCGACTGCAGGTGTGCCTGTCACACTCCGAGTGGACCCGAATGGCCATTACCTATACTGGTTGGACCAGAACAAGGTAGGGCGGTGTGACAATGGTGTGAATGATACCTCTAGATGTGTGAAATGATAACGCTTTTGTTTTATTAACTAACCACCACAGCAGATTATCACCAAAACACACGTGCTATACAAATGTCAATATGCACATTCAAATAAGGCAATTTCCATACATTACCATTGATGCTGAGAAAAGCACGTGACTGCTAGAAGTTCTTTGAGCGGTAAAGTGAAGCTATTTACAATCTGTGCAAATGTTTTTTTTAGAAACAAGCCAATTATGGCATTTCAAGTACAAACTGGGATGCATGTTTTTTTACTGCAGTTATAAAACATCATCTGCAGTAAATATGTTCTGCTGATAAAAATCTCGCACCTCTCAGTGCAACATACAACTGTATGTACTTTGACCCCATTTGTGCATTGCAAGTGATGCTTTATAAGAGTTTTAAAGGGCAATTGGAGGCACTGGTGTACGATTAGTGTATAAATGGTTCGGTTCATAATTTGATCTCATCTGAACTGAATGGAAAAAAAATAACATCCGATTGGAATAAAATTAGACAGGTATTTGATTGTGACGTGTTTCAGATCATAAATCTGATTACGATTAGCTTAAAGAATGTTGATCAGATCTGATCAGTGCAGAGTTGTATTTAAGTTAAAATTGACAAGTGAGTTCCATCAGAATGAAGTCACGGAAATATATACTAAGCTATATTGGACACCTCGCTCCTTATACAGTATATATAATGATTCAACAGATTCGTCAATACCATTGCCTTAAAATAAATAAATATTGGCCACATGTCAGGCATATTGCACGTGATCATATTTTTACGTAGCATTTTTGTATTGCACATAATCGTTTTTATTTTAAAACTTTTATAAATAATTGTTTTATCTCACTATCAAGAAGGGCCATTTCCGGAAACATTGCCGATTTTCTATATATACTTTAAGGCCACACGGTGTTATTGACAAATGCGTTGAGTTTTTGTTGATTGTGCTTGTGCACCACTGCCAATAAAGCATCACCACATTATTTGTGTATATATAATGTATTACTATAAAAAAAATCAGTCGTTGGTTGTGTAAAGTTGCACGTTAGTGGGATGAGTATTGGGACTCATCACTTGTGCTTCTCCGTGTTGCAAATGGGAGTGGTTTATGTCAATTTCCAATTCGGCATTGACATTACTCGTGCAGAAAATAGCTACCGTTTCATGGCAAACAAGGTTAAGGCAATTCTCTCCATGTCGAGATGGTCACCTGTCATGTGAAGGTAATGTATACGCTGCACATCTTTTGTACGCAATATTAAATGTCTTGAGATAAAATTATACGCGGCAATATTAATATAACCCATTTAATCTGTCAAGCGAAATGTGCATAATGCATATATTTCTGTCTGTTTAAATGAAATGGAGGAAGGTCATGGCTGTTATGACTTCCCACTCAAATAATGTTGTATAATCCTTCACCTGGCAAAGTATTGATGAAGGGCTGAACATTACTTTTATTGCTATGCTTATATGGCATACAGTGTAATGAAATGGAAATGATTATCATAATTTATAATGTCAGCAATGATAAATGTTGTCATGCATTTCAGCAATACCAAGTAGCACAGACCTTACCCGCTCAAATTATAAAACAATGTATTCCACCATCTTTTCCTACATTATCGTAGAATAAGATAAGTCATAAACAATAATGAGCACCATTTAAAGGTGCAATTATATAAAATGACCCTTGAACATCATGATTTTCATCGGGAAAATAATATTGCCATGATTCCTATCAAGACAGCATTAGGCCAATCTACGAAAATATAGATCTATTATTTTTACTTGTTATTATTGTCTTTTTAGAAAAATGAAAAAATTTTGGTATTTGAATATTTGTTGTACTTATGTTTGCGTTTTATAAATATTCTCTGTACATTACAAATTGTGCTGTATCGTGTAAGTTTATAGATTTAGACGTTTCGGACACTTTACCTTCATTGGCATGATATTAGAAAACAAAATTAACTCGGATTATCAATTATAACAGGGCCATTGATACATGTGCTTATTTAATATTATTTTGCAATTGAATCTATCAACCTGGGAAGGAGCAGTGGGCCTGGTAGTTAGCACACGATGCGCTACACTCGCGTTAATTGCCCAGCTACGGCTAACATCACACATTTTCGGTGATTGTTTTATTTGAAGAGTAATAGTTATCTCTAAAAGCGATTTAAATTACACTATTTACAAGGTGAATTATTTGGTGATGCTGCATTGATAGTGGTGCAAAAGCACAAACAACAAAAAACTAAACACATTCGTCAATAAAAGTGTGCCCTTTAAAGGGAAAATGATACAATATGCACTTCAGGCAATTGTCCTTCTTCATAGCGCATGTGCTATGAAGATTGAGTTTTTTATGATTTATATTTGGGATAAGATTGAAATTTAAACATTTTGGATTTAACATTTTTAAGGACCATTGCAGATATAATGAGGGTTTTGGATCGTATACATTACGTGATAATTTAACGCGTCTTCATGATAACACTGGTGACGTCACCCGATTCCATGTGACACTAATTTGACAGGAACAAAACAAATGTGATGTAATATGTGGCGTCATTCCCTGTGATGTCATACATTCTGATGAAATCAAAACAAAGACAATTTTTATCATACAACATTTCTGGATCGAGGCCAGATTTTCTGATATATATATTTTTTGGATTCATCTGAAAATCAGGAACATCCCTAGTACATACCTAAACATTGGCGGTGGTGCACAATCGAATAGAACGAAAACTATAACTAATATATACCGTTATTTTTTTTGCAAACCTCGGTTTAAACAAAAATATATCCAGAGTGCCTCAAAAGTTACATTTCTAAAACAACATCTTGTATGATTCTCTGTGAACAAATGAGAAAACCCAGACTATCCCCTGAGGTTTTATTTTAACAGACAGTTGTTGCCAGGGGCCAGTTCTGGGTTGTAAGGTGCAAGGCTGAGATGTTTTAACCCAGGAGTCGGGAACCTTTTTGACTGGGAGAGCCATTAAAGCCAAATATTTCTAAATAAATTGCATTGAGAGCCATATAGTATTTTTAACGTATAATAAATTAAATATGTCTTACTTTTAATGCGACTTCTGGTGCTATATGGTTTTGCTGATGGCCTTGTAGTCTGGTTCATACGTGGTGAGGTTGAGCTTCATCACGGCGTGACCCGTGAAATTTATCTTCAAAACTAATTTCTGTTTACTTTAAAATGACACAGTATTATTAAACAATATCACAAGTATTTTAAAATCAGTTCCAAACTGATTTTGTATTTTTTCAATATTATTATTTTTTCAAATCAAAATTGTCTGGGAGCCATATTCCGTCACCGGAAGAGCCATATATGGCTCGCGAGCCATAGGTTCCCGACCGCTGCTTTAACCCCACAGTCAAAGATTGCAGCCTGTAAACCGTGAGCAATGTGAGTGGAAGCATTGTTATGCAAGATAAAAAAAAAACACCCATCAACATTTCGATTTAAAGCTTTCGTGACTGCAGGGATTCATCTTCTTGTTGGTTCTTTCGGTAAAGTCACGTAGAAGGGAAATAATAAAATAATAAAAATAAAACATAATAAAATAATTCTCACGACGTTTCGGCCACAACGCAAGCAGCCATCCTCAGGTGGAGAACAGGTCTGTCGGAAAGACAGCGTCTGAATGTCTTCCCGACATACCTGTTCTTCACCTGAGGACGGCTGCTTGCGTTGTGGCCGAAACGTCGTGAGAATTATTTTATTATGTTTTTTTTTTACCCAAAAACGTTGATTATGAATGTTTTTTTTATATTATTATTTCCCTTCTACGTGACTTTACCGAAAGAACCAAGAAGACCCATCAACATTGTTTGCATTTTTTTATCGTCCACATTGTACATCAGTTTGTACAGTATACACACATGGTGCATGTGTGCATCTGTACGCTAAAGATTAATGTGACGACGACGACACATCCTTAATTTGCTTCCTGACAGTGTCAATAGTGAGCTGGGGGTAAAAAGTTTTTAAGGAAAGGTTCAGTCCCGGAAATGACTTGCTCGTGCTACTGCTGGTGGAAGCTCACAATAGCCTCTCGAGAAGGTATTTTTGCCTAGTCTTTCACACTGGCCAAACATATTGCAAAAGCTGGGAGTACCCACACTTTAGTCCCCAAGACAAAGATCCCCCATATTGCCTTAGAGATGTTTTTTCTTAGACAAATGCTGTTAGCTACCGCCTATGAAGACTGGCACCGCACACAAGGGACGTGGGTGGCCGGAACCATGCCCGGCCGCCTTTGTTTCCCCAGTGGCGATGTTTACCAGGTACTCATTTGAGACTGAGTCGACCTAGGGGAGGCCCAGGACTGGTTCAAATAATCGTCACTGGTCCGTTGCCCAATGCGCTAACCAATACTCTACCACCCACCCCCACACACATGCTGCCTATCAACAAACTGTTGTTTACCCATTAATACTGCTGGGTGAACAGAGGCCGGGGTGGTTAAGGAGGGGAGGGGTGATTTAAGAAACTTGTACCATTGTTTCAACTACTGCGACCTCTGGAAGAGGTCAGAGTACCGGCACTTTATCCAACAACACGCGATCTGCCAATCGATTAATTGTGGTTTGCCCCATTTATACTGCTGGGTGGACATTACTCCAACTGCCTCGCCGGTAGATTGAACCAGCGACCACTGCATTACAAGTGCAGTGTGCGGACCATTACACCCAGCGTTCTGAATGCGAGGGGCTTTGGTCACGAATCATATTATCCGGGGAGATTGTTTGTGTCGTCTAGGCGCCTGTCTGTGGATAAACACAGAAAATATTATGATTTCGCTCCTGCTTCTAGGTTTTACTCCTCTTAACCACGGAAAACAGCAGATAACAAGATGAATTTGTTGCTGCCAGGAGATCACTTGGTCTGACTCATTATCATCGGATAACTGTGGATGATTGGAAT